TTTACATGGGAGAACATTAGTTTTATATTCATCCTATGTGTATAATTTCATTGCCATGGTTATAATCCCCTCCATTCATCATCAACCTACCAAAGAGTATACCCTGCAAGCCTGCCTCCCAGTCGTCAGCATACAGCCCCTCTACCTCTCTGGGTCTAGAGTCCCCAGCTGCTCCATTTCTCCATGTCATCTTCTCTGCCTCCATCTCTGGCGTCACTGCTTCTCTGAGTAGGTTTCCTCTCTCCTCCCTTGATGGTCTCAGGGACCTCCGTCCTAGACTCCTTTACTATATTAGACTGCAAAGTTAATCTCCTCCTTGCTACAGAACGTCTATCTACCTTTACATTTCCAACCCTTACAATCAGTCCTGATAACAATTATTCACTATTGTATCATAAGAGACCTATCCGCATTTACTTTCATCAGCCCCACCTAGACAGATTGGATACTACTCAGTGGAGACTCTACCTTGCTCCACACCCTCTGGATCTAGGTTCCCTCTTCCAGTATCTTTTAATAAACTTTTCCATGAACTTTTTAAAGTCCCCTCATTGATTTATTTTAATGAAAGATCACAGTGACACTTCTTTAAGTAAAAAGTTTAATAATTACTAGTTGATAGATAAACATCAAGGACAGGGAACATTTTGATGGATAGATGTACAGTGGGCTGTGTGTAATAGGGAGCTTCAAAGTGATTCCAGAATCAGGGTAATTAGAAGAGTGAATCTCTATGTTTCAGAAAGCTTTCAGCCAGACGGGAGAGCTCATAATCTCCCACTTGCATTTCAGTGGGGAATTTGGACAAGAATTAATTTTTCAGGCTTCCTGAAGGAATAGAACATAGCCGTAGTTCAAAATGCCACTTGTCAAATTTGTTTTAGATTCAAAGATGAAATAGTCTCACTTCTGCTTTTCCATTTGCAGCATAGTAAAAATAGACTTTGTGTGTGTTTGTTTATGTGTGAGTGAGAGAGATTTGGTTTATAACCTTAACCTAACTAACTAAATTTGAGCAGTGGTGAGGTTAGTTTTTATTATAAGACAAATTGTAGGATTGTTCTTTTTATTGTTAGAATTAATAAGTTAAATTATTATTTGGCCTGTTGGTTTATTACCACTTTTTTGTTTTATCTATTTTTTTCTTTATGAACTTACTATAATTTGGTTGAATGTATACAGCACTGTGTACAAAATTAAACAATTTGTACACATTTTATTTCATGACATTGGTTGTAATTCCTTCATGTAATCCTTCATGTAACAACACACTCTTCCCACTTCCTCCCTGGATCCATTTCCATTCTTCTTTCTTGCCCCTTTCTGCCATTGTTTTTTGGCACATATTGCCCTTTTGATCGTATATGATTGATAGTGAGTTATTTCTTGATGTCCTCTTATGGCTCTCACAGGAGACAGCAGGAAGATCCTGGTTGTCATTGAAACCACAAAACTTTTTCTTGTGTTGTTTTTCTGTGTATGTGAGTTTTGTTTTCTTTTTTGCTCCCCACCTTCTAGTGGTTTTTTTTTGTTTTTAACTTTTTATTGTTAATTGGATAGAGGATGATACAGTAAACTAGTTTTCCATTCAACAGTTGTTACCCATTTTTTCTTTTCACTGATTGCAATCCCCACAATTACAACATCATTTATCCTCCTTCTTCCCTGTGTTTACTCTTGCCTTCTTAACTTTGTCCTTGGCCAAATGCTGCACTTTGTTCTCAAATGGTTGATTATTCTAAGGAGTGTATACCTCCCTGGTGTTATTGTTTACCTAATAGGCAGATCTGTTATTTGACTGAAAATTGAGCCACTGGGGTGATTTAATTCCAAGCCTAAACAGTGACTAAGGGCCATAGTCTTGGGGTTCCACCAGTCTCTATTGGACCAGTAAACTTGGTATTTTTATAATTTTGAGTTATGTGCCACGTTGTTTCCTACTCTATTCAGGACCTCCTAATGTGATCCATTTGAGAAAAGTTGGTAATAGTTGCCAGGTACCATCCTTTGGTCTCAGGGTCATGGAGGCTGATATTCATGTGGTACAATTAGGCTAGTTGTTTCCATGCTCTCTTTAGCTTTTTTTAGTCTTCTTTGCTTCAGACCAATAGTTGTATCATAGATTTATATTTATCCACTACTCACCAAAATAGGATGTAGCGCATGCTATGCCAATTCACCTTGGTATCCCCTGAGACTATGGTGTTGAGTCCCTAGGCCCAGCAACTCATTTCATCAGTGTGTTTGGCTATGGCTAAGAACTTGTCACAACTTTACCCTTTGTATGCTCTACTAAAATTTATATACTAGTAAATACTTTTGTAGCATATAAGAAAGTGGGTATTGTTTGTGTCTTAGTTATCTAATGATGCTCTGACAGAAATAACTACAAGTGAGTGACTTTAACTAATTTATTTTTTCACAGTTAAGAGTATATAATCCCAAATTCAAGGTGCCTGCTCTAGGGGAAGTCTTATGCTCACTCGCTCACTCTCTGTCTTTTGTCTATTGGTTCTGGCAGAAGGTCTACATGATCATATGTCCTGTGTCTTCCCTCTATTAGTGATTAATGTTAGTCTGTTCTATTATATCTCAAATGAGATTGACTTAAAATACATTGTTCTGGCTCGTTAACAAAACAAAGATAATCCATTCCCAGATGGGATTATAACCACAGCTGGCATTTAACAGCAATGTAATAGGGGTTAGGATTTTATAACACTTATTTTTAGGAGGGACATCGATCAATACATAACAATGTGTATTGAGGCTATTGATAGCTATCTATTACCCCTTATTGATTTATAATAGCTCAGAACTCCATTGACTATCAAATAGATGTCTTTGGAATTTAAATCTTAAAGAATTGTTGTCATCTACAGAATATTAGAAGTCGTAAATATTATCTAATTTCTTTCAAGTCTCAGTTTTATAATGGCTTTTTGATCTTAAAAGGCATGGCATGTGTTGTTATTATTAGGTGCCCTTGAGTCAATTCCGACTCATAGTGACCCTCTGCCCAACAGAATGAAACACTGCTTGGTCCTGCACCATCCTCACAATTGTTGCTGTTACTGTGTCAGTCCATCTCATTGGGGGGATCTTCATCTTTTTCCCTCACCATCCACTTTACCAAGCATGATGTACTTCCCACGTGACTGGGTCCCTCCTGAAATCTTGCTGTCCTTGCTTCTAAGGGATGTTCTGGCTGTACTTATTCCAACACAGATTGCTTTGTTCTTATGACAGTCCATGATACTTTCTATATTATTCTCCAATGGTGGTTATGTGCCGTGGAGTCAGTTCCAACTCATAGCAACCCTGTACAGGGTTTCTGAGGCTGTCAATCTTTATGGGAGCAGATAGATTCATCTTTCTTCCGCGGAGCAGCTGGTAGTTTAGAACTGCTGACTTTAAGGTTTGCAGCCCGATTCGTAACCACTACACTACCAGAGCTTCTCAGTTGTACAGTCTTACTTATTCATTGTCCAACTTTCACATGCACATGAGGCTTTTGAAAATATCATGACTTAGGGTCAGGTGCACCTTAGTCTTCACTCTGACATCTTTGCTCTTGAACACTTAAACAAGGCCTTTGACAACAGCTTCCATGGGTGTTGATTTGTGGATCCAAGCAAAATGAAGTATTTGACAACTTCTGTTTTCCATTTATTATCATGTTATTTATTGGTCCAGTTGTAAGGATTTTTGTTTTCTTTACATAGAGGTGCAGTTCATACTGAAGGCTGTGGTCTTTGGGGCATATAAATATAGGGTTATAAAACTAAAGACTTTTTGTAGTTATTTCTATATTTCATCTATGGATTTAAAAAATGTGTTTTTTAAAAAAATCCTTTTGTTTTTGAGGTACTCGGCACATAGCTATTGCCACCAGATATAAAAGTAAAAGATGACAGTAAGGATGTGCCTTTTCTCTCATTGTACATTGACTGTTCACTGACAGCATAACACTTTTCAAGTAAAATGGGTTTTAATTCCTTTTGAAATTGGCATTTCAATTTTTGCTTATTTATGAAATATTTCACTCTTTCTTAGTACTTAACCTTCAGTCAGTAATACAACTTAGTAGTTCATCTAGTCTGAGACTGAACTGTATTAAGTGGTCATTAAGCATGTGGCTGTTCCTGAGTTGGTAGCACAGTTGCCGTGTCTTGCTTATTTACTGTAGCTTTCTTTAGGCTAGGACTAACTCCATTAAAAGAAGCTTTGTTCCTACAGATTTTGTTAGATCAGGTAGGTCTGTAACTGAAAATCTATAACTGGTGATGGTTGCACAAATGTGACTATACTAAAATCCACGAAAGTTTGCACTTTTAAAGGGGTGAGTTTTATAGCATGTAAATACAGGTGTAAGTCAAAAAGTGCTGCTACTAGGCTTCTAGTTTCTTTTAAGCATGGCTTTAGTCTGAATAAAACATGTTTAAGCATGTCTGTGATCACTTTCTGGCTGCAGACAAGTTCTGTTCGTAATACACTTATCTTCATTTCTTTAGGGTGATTTCAAAGAAAGGGATACTTTTTTGTGCCATGGTAAAAGACGATTCTGAGGTCAAAGCTAATGCCCAATTTTAATAAAACTTAAATGGACATTTTCCCAAATAATTAAAGTTGTGCAATAAATTTACTGCCATGCCGCCCCAGATAAACAATAGTTTCTAGATGGATCAAGCATTTTAAGGAAAATTAGGAAAAGAGGGAAAAAAAGTCAAAGAGGAAAGACCATCATTGACAAATGACAAACAATGGCTGAAGTCCAGAAGCTTTTGGAAGAAGACCGTAGAATTGGCGTTGATGAGCTAGCTACTGAAGTTAGGCTCCTATATGGCCTCAGCTTGTTTTTGACTCAGTGGATATCAAAAGCATTGTACAAAGATCAGGTAGCTCAGAGAGCTGATCTTAACTTACCAATATTATCGCTAATAAAGGTTTTATAGAATGATTCAAAACCTAGGGAAAGACTTGGATTTATCAATATACAGATAGAAGGTCAAATCAGAACAGTGGCTTCTTAGGAATCTGCTGAACCATTGAAATTCATGGCAGAGAGGCCAACTCAGAAAGTTATGATAGTTGTTTTTTGAAATGCCTTACTAGATTTTCTTAGACACAGAATGATCAGGGGGCTTTTCAGGAAAAAACCTGAAGAACACTGAAAACTACATTGCTGGGGAAAAGGCTAACAAAGTTGTGCCAAGTAATTGTTCCCCCCATAAAGACAGTGTTCTTTTGAGAGGATAGCAAGTGCAGTCCCTTGAGAAGTTTGTTGAGAAACCTTACCTCATCCACCCTAAAGCCCTAATCTTGCCCCTTCGGACTCAAAGAATGTTGAAAAGGATTACAATTTTGAGTCCCTCAAGGATTCCAAAACTGCCATTTTGATGTCATCTAAATTGGAGAATTCTTTAGGAAAGGGTTGTTGTTGTATTAAGTGCCATTGAGTCGGTTCCAACCCATAGCAACTCTGTATAAGAGTTCTGAGGAGCAACTGGTGATCTTGAACCACCGACCTTCTGGTTCAAACGACTTTGCAGTCCAGCGCATTAACCCATAGCACCACACCAGGACTCCAGGAAAGGGTTAAAAAGATGGAAACACCACCTTCAAAAGTATATAGACCTGGATAGGAGGAAATACTGAGATCTTTTTGTTTAATAAAAGTTTCTCCTCATTTTTTTTTTCTTAGTTTTTAGCAATACTTTTTGACTTACCCTTGTACATCAATATAGACTGTTTTTAACTGTAACAATAATACAAGGAGGCTTCAATAACTTGGTGGGAAAAAGTCTTCTGGTTTATCCTGTTACTTGTTTTACTTTAGCAAAGGATTGTATTGCAATTTACGGTATACTATTTAGACAACAAACTACTTAAGAGAATTTTAGTTTGTCACAGCACTCAATCGTAGCATTTCCACTATCATACCTGGAATAGATTATGAGTGCATTTTGCCAAAAACAGATTGTTGGGGATCTTCTATATTGACTTAAGTACATTATAGAATATTGGCTACGTAATTTCATGAAGTTGAAACAACCAATACAAACTTGCTTAAATGAAGGTCAGATTTTATTAATGCCCTTAGCTTTGTTTCCATTATGTCAGAATTCAGCATTAAAATACTTGACTTGGTATACTGGGTATGTTATTTATCACAAATAAATTCCATATTATTAGAGTTTTATAATGCTTTTGAACAAAAATAAATCAGGTTAGGCATTTAATCAAGGTAGTAATATTTTATTTTACCTTTTCAAGATTCTACAGAATGAGCAACTAGATGAAATATCTCCCTTGAGTAATGAGGAAGTTTCAGCAGTTAGCCAAGCATGGTTTACAACTAAAGAAGATAAAGATTCTCTGACTAACAAAGGTATGGTATACTGTGAATTTTAGTGTGGGATACATCTACTGTTCACTTATTAGCATGGTTAGGTTCCAAACACCAGGTTGTTATGTGAAAATCAATATTAAGCAAAAATAGAGAGGGTCAGAGAAAAAGAGGAAGATGCCCAGCGAGATGGATTGGCAGTATGGCAACATCAGTGGGCTCAAGCATGGCAACAATTGTGAGGTTGGCCCAGGACCAGGCAATATTTCGTTCTGCTGTGCGTAGGGTTGCTGTGAGTCCGTACCAACTCAATGGCACCTAAAAACAACAACATCATTACTTAATTGCCAAGCTACTGTGTAGACCAACTGAGGCAATTGACACATGACTGTCACAACCAGCATTACTGTACCTCAGTATTCGTTGCTGGCAGACATACGTTGTTAACCCACAAAATAGTTTGATGGTAGACTTTTTGCTTTTGTAAATGTGAAATGTTGAGTAATGCAGTAGTAAGTGAGGAGTAGGTATGTGATGGAAGTAGAATAGACTTTCAGGCTTCTGATTGGGACCCTTGTCCTTGTGAATCAGTTGTTCTTAAACTTCTCTGTATTGGATTAAATTTATCTATGAACAAGACTCTGAAACCAACTTTTGTTTTTTACTATATGATTTTTTTCCTCTTATATACAGATTATGCATAGTTAGTTGCTTTTTGAGTTTCTAAATGGTAGCATTTAAAAGACAGTATTGTTACTGTGAAATGCTGTGGAGTAGAGTTGCTACTATATTGTCTACAGGAAGTCAAGCCATTTGACACTTTTCAGGGTTCTTCTGATAGGTAGATAAGTGGCTTATCTGATAATTAGCATAATGTGTATGGATTGCTGAAGAAGATGTTCTGAAAAAAAGTAAGGGCTGTGTTTATGCCACTTTGAAGTAAGGAAAGGAGGCAGAAAGTAAATTGATTCTTTCCAACCACTGCACAATAGAATACTGTTTAAAATATATTATTCACTTGTTGTAAACTGTCGTCAAGACAGTTCCAAGTCATAGCATAGGGTTTCCAAGAAGTGGCTGGGTGGGTTTTAAGTCATTTTAGAAATTCTTTATTGCTGAAAGGATAAGAGAGGAATTAATTTTTTTAAATCATTTAATTACTATGTTTTTATTTATTTAGAACAAATGTATTTTTAATTAAACACTGAAGGTTGTAAATGTAGGTTTACCTAGGAAACTTTTAGATTTCAGATGAATGAATGAGAAATTAAATTAGCTACATTTTATTTCTACAGATAATTTATGTAATCACAAAACAAATATTTAGTAGTTTATTCCTTTTAAGGAATAACCATTTGTATACAATACTTGTCTCCTTTTAAAGGACATAAATGGAAGCAGGGGATGTGGTCCAAGGAAGAAATTGATATTTTGATGAGCAATATTGAACGCTATTTGAAGGTATCTTATGGATTATTTTTGTGTTTCACTAATCTGTTCACTGTCAATTGCAAAAATATCAAAGGCAGCATATTGAATCTATTACTAGAAACTTAGATTGGTTAATATAGCTTAATAATTCAAAGGTGTGTGGTTATAATGTAATGGTACTTTAAAAAAGCATTGCATTCTCAATCTAAAATAGCTTTGTTTTCGATGACACCCTGAATAGCTTTTTAGAATTTCTCATCTTGTTGTTGTTAAATGCCATCAAGTCGGTTCCAACTTAGAGTGACCCTGTATAGGATTTCTGAGGAGTGGCTGGTGGATTTGATCCATCAACCTTGTGGTTCAAACAGACCTTGTGGTCCAGTGCTTATCCTATAACACCACACTAGGACTCCTGAATGAGTTTATGAGGCCATATAATCCTTTTCTTAAAATGTTTTTTCACTAGTTGAGTACACATTCAGGCATTTTTCTTGTTAGTTTAGTCTTCTTTATTAAACATCTGGAGATACTTACTTGAAAGGGGGCTTCAAAGAGTTCGTGGACAACTGGAAATGAAAAGATAATGGAATTTACCCACAAACTTTTGAAACTGCACTGTATAAATTAACACAAAGTGATTGCCTTTGAAAAGTCATTGGTCCATATGTGGGATGGCAGAAAACAAGCAAAAAGAATTACAAGACTTTGTGTCATTTGAGTGATACAGATTGTGAGTTCTGCATGAAGTTGAGATGGAAGAAGAGTCTAAAGGATTAAGACTGTTAATAGAAATTTTTGTGAAAGAGCAAGGATTTGAGATGAATAATAAAATATGGAGTATAACTTAGAATAAGACTGAAAGGAACAGTGTTAAAGCAGAGGAATAACAGTGCATAAAATCAAACCCAGGACACATTATATTAATTTTGTTTTATTGAATAAAATGAGGGTATAGAGATTACCTCTGGAAACTGAGTTTTGACATTGAGGCTAAAGAATTAGAACATTTGCAGTAGTAGATTGGTAAATATATCATTGCTGATGAATAATTCTAACGTATATATATGGTTATAATTTAAAACAAATTTTGAATTCTCAATCTAAAATTTATCTTTATTGCTTTAGGTATCATTCTGAAGTTACACAGAATCTTAATTTGAATCTTGAGAATCTTTGGAATTTCATATTTTAATAGCCTTGAAAGTTCTGTCCATTCCTTTAATGGAGCAAAGATTCAAATAGTGTATATTTGAAATGTTGATGGAGGGGGAGGGGTGTATAGTATTTATTTAATCATTCTTCTAGTCTTTGATATTTGATTATTTCTAATTTCTCACTGTTGCAAATGAACTGCTGCAAAGTCTATATCCTTAAGTCTAATTTTTAAATGTCCTTTCCAGAGTGGGCTTTGTAAACTATAAAGATATTTTTTTTTAAAAAAAAGCACAGACAACTTTTTAATGCTTTGTTAATGAATTAAGGATTTTCCCCATCAATCTTATTTTTTGAAGACAAACAAAAATATGTGACCATTGAAAATCTATCCAGAATTTATTCATTGGTCACAAGCTTTAATTAAAGTTAGAAAAATACTATGGGTTTAGATAAAGCAGTAGTAACGTGTTATGAGCACTGTTTTTTGAGAAGAAACTGGTTTCTTGTCTAGGGGGTTGGAGTAGATGTTCTCCAAGGATCTTCCAACTTTTTGATTAAAGGGCAGGAACATGACTAGGATTCAAGACCTTTTAGATGACCATTTCAGAGGACCAGGTGAGAGGTGGTAAGGACTTCATGGAAACAGAATTTGCAGGGAAAGGACAGATAAGCAAATAGTTCGTAAGGCAGCCTGTAAGGAAGTGTTGGAATAATTTAAGATTTTTTATTTTGAGTGATTGACAGAAATAAGAAATGTTCAAAAGATGGCACTGATCTTTGAAAAGGATAATTTATTACGTTTTAATTTTTGATGATGTTTTCTATTATATGGTGCTCTTCTAAGAGCGTTAGAGAGCCAATTTGTAACCTAGAAACCTTCAACTAGTAAAAATATATATCCCATATTATGGGTAAAGTGTAAATGAAAGTAACTTACACAAGAAAAAAATCATCTTGTACCAAGCACAGTGTCTTGCCTCTGAGTGAGTACTTAGTAAATATTTAGATTTATCATTTACAAAATTGAAACTGTTTAGAAACAAACAACAAAAAAAAAAACTGTAGAAAAGATTCTGAACTTAAAAACTTTTCATAGTGATATATTAATTCAAAAGAGTGTTTAAAATGAATACAAAGTAATAATACTGCTTTTTAAAATTTATATAAATTGATTAATTCTCTGAGATACTCTTCTGTCTTTGTGTGTGTGTGTATACTCAATATTATGGTTTTAAGATCCATCTCCTATTTATTTTTCAGCCATATGAGTTATTACTAAATCAAATAACTGACTCAGTGGCACTTTTAACGTGTTGTACTTCCCATTTGAAATTCCTTTTTGTGTCACTTGCCAATTTTATGTGGTGTATTTTGTCTTTTTCTTACAAATTTATAGATGTTCTTATTGTATGCAGGATGCTAGTTAATCAGTTATGTTACAAATCTTTTTCCAATACAGTTGACTGTCTTTTTCTTAAATTTTCTTTTGATAAATAATGGTTGTCAATTTGCTGTTTTACACAATTAAGAAATTCCCCCTTGCCTCAAGAGAGCATAGGATATTCTTTTCTATTCTATGAAGAAAAAGTAAAAATATATAGTTTTGCCTTTTACAGTGATAATTTTACCCCCTACAGGGTATGAGAAGTATGGTTTCAAATGTATCTTTTTCTGTATGAATAACAATTATACCAGCATTATTTAGGGATTGCCATTTTTCTTGGTGTGGTACTGTAGGATCAGCACTGGACTGCAGACCATAAAGTGGGCAGTTCAAACCCAACAGCTGCACCTCAGAAACCCTGTATACAGGGTGGATATGAGGTAAAACTGACTCAGTGGCACTTTACAACACTACCACCAGCATAGCGCTGTTCAGAAGTAGTACCAGATAAGATGGGACAGATCTTCATGAATATCCTGGTTGTTCTTGGCCTTTTGCAATAAATTCAGAGCTCTTTTGTGATAAATTCAGAATTCACTTGCCAAAAATAAAATTCCTATTAGGATTTTGATTGAGATTGCTTTGAATCTATACATGAATTTGAGAACTAACATTTTTACAGCATTTCTATTGAAGAACAGTTAATCAGGCACTCTATTGTAATTGTTGTTGCTCAGTGCCGTAGAGTTGGTTCTGACTTAAAGCAACTTTATATAGGGTTTCCAAGGTACAACTGGTGAGTTTGAACCACCAACCATTTGATTGACAGTCTGATGTGTTTAGTTTTATGGTACTATAAATGATTGAGTTCTGGTGTGGCAATGCACCAGACTGCCAAGTTGTTTGAACTATAAGATTGTTGGTTCAAGCTCACCGGTCACTCCTTGGAAACCCTATACAGGGTTGCTATGGGTTGGAACCGACTCGACGGCATTTAACAACAACAAATAAATGATTGATAATTCTTTAAGATTATATTTTATGAGTTTTACATAGAAACACTTTAAATAAAATATTTACTTAGATTTTTAGGTTTTTCTACATCATCTGCAAATGTTTTTTCTTTTCCAATCTCTACTTGTACATATTTTTCTTCTTTATCAGGTAAAGATTACTTCTTCTTCTCCTAATTTACTAAGAGCTTTATCGTGTATGAATGTTGAATTTTATGATAACTTTTCCCACATCTTTTGAAATTGTACAGTTTTTTCCATAAATCCATTAATTACCTTTTTCTGAAATAAACACAAATTTGTATTTCTGGGATAAATTTACTTTTTTCAGTGATAAATTACCTTAATATATTGTTGAACTTAGTGTGTTAAAATATTCTTGGGACTTTTAGATTTATGATAATAAATCATCTTGGCCTGTAAATTCTTTTCTGAAACTGTACTGTCTAATTTTGCTATCAAGCTTTTACATTAACTGGTAAAATGAGTGGGAGAGTTTCTTCCACTTTTTTCTTTACTCCTAGAACAGTTTAAGATTAGAATGTGTCCCCTGGATATCCACAGACAAATGTAAAAACCTTCCCTAAAAGCC